GGAGGCGGAGCCGGAGGCCTGTACGCGCCCGCACCCGCCCCCGACGACGAAGTCGCCGCAGCACCCCGCCCGGAGCCCGTGTCGCTCTACTTCCCGCCCGCCTCCGGCAAGATGAAGTCGGAGACGGCCCCCAGCTGCGGGGAGCAGCTCTTCCTTCACCGCCAGCAGGTAGGTTGCTTTGCGAATGGAATCGGGTATTCGGAAAGGGCCTCATCTTCTTACCTCTGTTTAGAAATGCGTTACTCCCATCATTTGATTGAGAAAATATTTTGAGCTTTATTACGTGTGAAAACACTAAATATCAGCTGTTTGTTAATAAACTTTAAGCAGGTGGGATTTTCAGTTTACTTCGAATACGTTTCATCTTTGGGAATGTGACATTTTCTAAAAACGTTTGCGAAACAAGATGCGGCATTTTCGAAATATCCGATGATTTTATTTCTTTTCGTGAAAAAGATTCGGTACTGTATATGGCTTATGAGTAGAGAAGTGAGAGTGATATACAGGATGACATATATCGGTCGTAAAAAACATCAGTGTCATCAACAGAATGGAACGAAGAAAATGTTCCTCGTTTCATTCTACGCCGAAAAATCTTCGATAGTGTATAATAATTAGTCTACGAACTTTGTCGTCTTATAACATACAGGAGAGTGTTCACATAGTGATTCGAATCTGTAAGTTTTACTGGAGACAAAATCGTATTTCTTGTAATACAAAATACAAATAAAGAAAAAAATTAACTTACGAATTTAGGAGTGTCGATAATGACTTCTCTCTCTCGAAACTAATTGCAAGGTCTTCTGCAATCGAAGTTCAGAAACCGCGGGCCGTCTTTCGGCAAGCAAACGAATGCTCTATTCTAATAACAACGCTTCATGTTAGGCACAATTTTACAATTGCACAAAGTGCACAATTCTACGAGGGAAGTTCAGATGAAACTGAACACGTGAAAATGTTAAAGTGTGTACAAATCGTTCTACCGTTGAGAAGGAAACGGTAAAGGAAATAATATTGGTAAGATTAAGACGAATGTGGTGGTATGGGATTTGTTTCGTCTGAAGGGTTCCAATCTATGGTTTTACTTAATGTTGTGAGCAAGGGAAATTTATAGAAATTGAACAATGATAAAAAATCTGTGTCACGCACATTCTATGTGCAAATAGTATAGACTTTAATTGAAACTCAAACGGAAGCTAGGACAATAATCCAATTCATATTGATTTCGACGATCACTGTTCGCAGAAATATCGAAGACTTCATGGTGCCGTAGACCGGAATTAATCTTTCTGTCTGTTGGTATCTTTGTTGATAATGTGAAAAAATGATGTGTTAAAATGTATTCCCACTTTCTCACGATCTACGACTTTATGTCTTTCGTCGTGTTAATAGAACGTTTTTGGCTTATAGGGAAGATCAATTACGTTGTTTGAAATGAACTCTTACACTGCTGACTAGAATTCTTAATAAATGGAAGCACTAACAATATTTATAACAATTGCCTCATTAAGGATAGACTATTTCTAAAACTAACTATAACTATACTGAACTGAAACCATAATTTTCGGAGTCTACCTTTACTTTTAAGCCCTCGTTCAAACATTTCATTTTCAGATTCTCTTATTATAGATACCACAAAAATGAATACAATATAATATAAAATTATAAGATTCTAAATACTTTAGTACAAAAAATAAAGGAGGACAGATATGAATATATGTGATGGTAGAATTCGTTATGGTGATTCATCGATTCAGTGTCGGAAAAAAATGTTACGAAATCAAGTCTGTTAGAAGGGTTTAAAAACGTTACTAATATTATAAGGGAAACCTTTCTACCGGTTTCTTCTGTTCACAAAATAATTGATTTCGTTACATCGAATTAAATATGTTCTTCCTAATACTTCATAATATGCGGCGGCGACGGTTAGCGTACCGGACTCGCGGGTTCAAACCCGATCGAGACCGTGGATTTTTAGGGCGACAAAATCCTTCGTACGCCTTCCTTCGGAGGGGAAGTAAAGCCGGCTGTCCCATGTTAGTAGATTTACTTGCATGTAAAAGACCCTCAAGTCTAAAGGATGCCTCTGAGCTAAATTCAAATCGCCAGTTTCTCGTCCAAGAAATACCTCCTTTCTCTGCAAGTTGATGAAAGGAGCGTAGCGAAATTTGCGTGGTCAGACAGAAGAGCGGGCCTGATGGCCCGAGTCTCGCCACGTAAAATAAGGCAAATTCAATTCAATTCAATAATATTATCGTTATCATGTACTTTGTAATTCCCAAACGGAGAGTATAATTCTTCTATATTTGGCACCTTCGGTATGGACGCGGCGTCACCCGGACAGCCTAGTAAATACTGACTCCGGCCGCGGAAGCCTACGCTCCCACTTATAATTCTTCTGTTCACTGCTTCATTCTCTACCAAGTACAATCACGAAAATCAGGGTGACTTACCAATCCGAATATCCGCCACGACCCTGCGTTGGGGGCAGCGCTCCTGGCGCCGGCCTTCGATCGCTAACGGCGCAGCGCGTTGCTCTTTTGTCTGCCGGCGTCACAACATGGCTGCCGCCCACTGCGCAACGATATTTCAAACAAACGGCGTCCCTTATCGGCCGTTGGGCTCGGCACGGCCGCTGTCGCGATAACTTGCTCCCGCGTCCCAAATACTATTTCGTCCCGGACGTGAATAAACCCTCTCGTTCCTGACACCAGACAAATAACACACGAAAAGGATCGCGCTACAATAACTTGCAGGTGCCGGCGGCGGCGGCGGCGGGCAGCGGCATTTCGCGAGATAGGTGCAAATATTTATAAAACGGAGTTTTCCCCCGTCGCGGCCATAGAACTTTTTTCTCCTCGCGTTGTTGGCGGAATCTTTTAGGACGTTTTAGAGCAGCGTTTGGTCGCAGACAACAAGTTTTGCCGGAAAGATTACACTGAATTAGAGGCTTGTTTGCGATCTGCCGTTTAGTTTCGGAGAATCCTTGGAAAGAATTGTGACGATTCCGCAGAGGTTACAGGAGAACTTGTCACCTGAAGAGTGATATGCTTTCTTATAGCAACTCGTGGTCTTTTACCAGGCGAAAGAGAGATTACGGAATTTAAAGGTTAGAAAATTTCGTAAGGTTGACCATAACTTTGAATGAACATGTTTTCTGTAGAGTAAAGATATCCGGGAATATAGTGTCTCACCATAAAATGTTAAGAATACATCACGCCGCAAACGGAAGTGTATTCCGACCACTAAAATATATTGAAACTAAATTATATTAATTCTATCATTTTACATGAAGGTATAATGAACATGTATTTAGCCAGAGATTTTGATTAAAAGGAAATGAGAAACAACACGATTTAAAGAAAGTTGGAGGACAATACTGTTTCATTTAAAAACACGTTAGCTATTCAGAAAAACATACACTAAGGTGCAGGCGCAACATGAAGAAAAATCGTTATCCGCATAATATTACGCCGTTATTTTAGTATTTTTTCAGTGGCCTTATTCAGAATATACTGGGACTATCAGAACCAAAGTATATAAATTCTGTAATTATGAAATAGTATAATTGAAAAAATATAATGGCCGACTAGAACTGAATGTCGATTTGTAGAAGTTTTCATGATACAAGTTATGATTATAAAAAACATACGAAATTTATAAATTTAATCGCACAAATTACCACTGTTACAACTATTTAGAAAAAAGTTGTCACAAATAGATCGTAGAAAAGAAATGAGAGCTCATATAGTACAGTACAGTATTACGATGGCAATGTCCTGGAATAAGCTAGTAAGCATCACCTTTTCTAGCCAAGAGAACATTAATGGATCTTCAAAGCGAATTGCTAATATTACGTCCGCGAGACTTTCGAAGACTCCTAGTTTAATGAAACCCTAAGGTATACACGCCCAAGCTGTAACCACGATGACAGTTGGAGCGGTTTGTCGTGGCTGGTCGCAGCGGAACCGCGATTTCAGTTCTGTTCGAAGATAATTTTCGTTCTATTTTCGCGAAAATAAGCTGGAAAACATTTAGTTTCCTTTTCCGTACCAGTACAGTACGCTAGTGTTTAACTCTGAAATGATGCCAAACCTTCGTGTCAGACGATAGTGTATATGTTATCAAAAATTATTTTAAATGATCCTATAACATGTTCTAACAGCAGAGTGTTATGTTCATGACTTGTTTGTAAGTGGGGCCTGACACATCACCTTCCCCCAACAGATGAGCTACTCGTACGGCGCTCCAGGCATGCCCATGCAGCACTTCTGCCCGCCGCCCTACGGCAGCCAACAGCACATGTACGGCGCGGC